CTTTCAGTAAGTACAACCTCTGGGGAATTGCACCAGTGACTAGCTCAGTAAGAAATAGCAGCTGTGTTGTACCATGAGCGGGGGTCAATAAGATGAAGCAACAAAATGGCCTTTGAGCAGAAAAGGTTCCATGAACTTCTTATTATATTCTGAAGACATCATATGACCAGGGCTTGAAGCTAGTGAGAGGTTCTGGTACTCCCTGAAGTGGATGTGAAGTAGTCTGGCTAGCATGAAAATCTGACTTTGTCCTATGTATTAGTCCATTTTTGCTGCTTATAACAAAATACATGGAACTGGGTAATTTGTACAAAAACAAAATTTATTGCTTACAGTTTCAGAGGCTAGGAAGTCCAAAGTCTAGAGAACACATCTGGTGAAGGCTTCCTTTGGTGATGACAGGGTATCATATTGTGAAAAATGGCAGAGAAGAGAGAGAGACACTCTCCTCTCTCTTCTTTTAAAGCACTCAGACCCACAACCCTGGCCACCATTTTTAATCCATTCACTACAGCATGGTCCTACAATCTCATCACTTCTTCAATGCTCCACCTTTCAATTACCATAATAAGATATCCGACACTCTTAACAGTCACAGTGGGGACAAAGTTTCTAACACATAAAAGTTGGGGGACACAATTCAAGCTTCAGTTGAGTTTTGGGGGGATATAATTCAATCCACTACACCCTACTCCTTCTCTTGATGCATATTTCTCTGTGTGAAACAAACCTAACTAATTCTTGGTGATAACTGAAGTTGGAACATTTGAATTATTAGGAATTTTTTTTTTTTTTTAAGATGATCGGTAAGGGGACCTTAACCCTTGACTTGGTGTTGTCAGCACCACGCTATCCCAAGTGAGCTAACCGGCCATCCCTATATAGGGATCTGAACCCGTGGCCTTGGTGTTATCAGCACCACACTCTCCCAAGTGAGCCACGGGCTGGCCCTAGCGCCTCAGCTTTGATCCCATGCAGCTCACAGGAGTGGTCTCTCAGGCCATCAGTTAAGCAGCGTCTATGGTTCTTCTTTCTGATGACCAATGACAATATTACTTAAAGTTAGTTTAATCTCATTTAACTCAGGAAGTGAATAAAGTTCTGTTGAGTCCAAAATCAGCCAAATTTTGGAAAATGTGTTTTATCCTCATAGCTTGATATTAGAGCACATCTGACCACTCCGATGCATTGCCTCTCTGTACTTTGGTAGCTGTGATAGGGTGCAGATAATGGAAGGGGAGAAAGTGTATTTTGGAAAGGAGACATCTCACATTGATCGTCTTCCTTCTGACTGGGAGGTGGTGTGACATGGAGGGTGGGAGCCAGGGAAGCCCAAGTCCCTAGCTCTACTGTCTGCCTGTTGTGTGACCTCTGAGCCTCTGCCTCTTCATCTGGAGGAAGGCAAGAGTGTCTCCCTTAGAGGGCGGTAAGGATCACATCAGATAGGGGATGCTAGGCACTTAGCATTGGGGCCTGGCATGTTAGTTTCATTGATCGTCTTCCTTCTGACTGGGAGGTGGTGTGACATGGAGGGTGGGAGCCAGGGAAGCAAGGTGTAGTTGAGGTGTACTTGTAGAACACCAATAAGTGCTAAGTGCTGAAGAAACAGTGTTGGTAAAAACAGACAGGTTTCCTGCCTTTGTGGAACTCTAAATCTAGAGGGGAACATTACAGTAAGTGGAGGAGAGGGACTCAGGGCTATGATGCCTGTAATAGGAGAATTTAATCTAGTTTGGGAGTTCAGGGAAAGCTTCTCTATAACCCATGAGCTAAAATCTGAAAGAGGAGTTAGTTAGGAGTACATTGTTCTAGGAAAGGGAAATAGCATGTGCAAGGGTCCTGTGGTGGGAGAAAAGGGTGGCAAAAAAAAGGTCTAAAAGCAGGATGGGAGGAGCTCAGTGTAGCATGTTTTCACTCTGGGTAGGCCAGGGCCCAGATCACAAAGGACCTTATGTTTTTATCCTATATCCTAAGGGCAGTGGGAAAGCACTGAAAGATTTAAGTGGAGTGGGGAGGGAGATAGAGGCCTGAGCATTTGCATTGTGAAACACTGCCTGTTCTGGCTGTGTGGAAAATGTATTAGAGCAAAGGCATGCAGGTGCACCAAGTGAGAGGCTGCCAGTCATCCAGGCAAGACAGGACAGTCGATTAGACTTGAGAGGTGGGAGTGGAGTTGGAGTTGAGAGATCTCAAGGAGGTAAAATCAAAAGGATTGATGGTGGGGCAGGAGGGATGGGGAGGATCCAGTGGGGCTCCAAGTCTCTGGTGACCATCTGAGAGCTGTGATGCACCTGACAGCCAGACAGAAGCTGAAAGTATGAAGTGAGAGAGAGAGAAAAGAAGAAAATATGAAGTGAGAGAGAGAGAAAAGCCAGTAAAGAGAGACAAGCTTAAAAACGCTTGAGTAGTTTGTGCTGGAGCAGAGGATTAAGGAGTGGTTGAATGAGAGCTTTTTTTTTCTTTGATGGGAGAGAAAAGTGTGTTTACAAAACAGTTAGAAAGATGCAGTTAGCGAAGAGTTTGAAATATGAGTGAGAGGAAGGATAATGGATGCTGTAAGTCTCCTAAGAAAGCAGGAGGGGATGGGATCCAAAGTGCAGGTAAAGTGAGTCCTCAGTGGGAGGAGACACGGCTCTCCAGGGTACTGGGAGGGGAAAAGAGAGAGCTCATGTTGAGTGAACCCAGCACCCTGAACACTGCCTCACATATCATCAGGGTTCAAAAACTATGTGTTTTATGAATTAATTAACTTGTAAAGTAGGAAATGAGGGCATCTCCTGAGGGTGAGAAGTGGAAGAAGAGGTTCAGACATTTGGGGAGAGTGGAGAGGATTCGAAATAGTCTTTATGGCGATGGAGAGGCACATTGCCAAGGAAGCTTCATGAGCTGGCCAAGCAGTGCTGAGCACCTGTTTGAGGTCAGAGATTATGAATTCATAATGGAAGCAAGCTGCCCTGTGGACAGAAATGCTCACAAATGGAGACTAGTAGGATTAACTAGTAGGTTTCTCATCCACTTGTCCAGCTCAAGGAGGATTTTGGACTAGAGGGAATCTTCATAAACCCATCGACCAGATCTCTTCCACTCCCAAATTCAGCCAGCTGCAGGACTTTACCTTCTTTAAACCAAGTCTGTATTGAAAGGAGGTTAGGGGGCTTGCCAATTAGCTCAGTTGGTCAGAGTGTGGTGCTGATAACACCAAGATCCAGGTTTCAATCCCTGTCCCAGCCAGCCGCAAAAAAAAGAGAGAGAGAGACACTAGTGTTTATTCAAATCACCTGGAGGTGAATTTTTAAAATCCAACAATAGTGTATCCTTCATACTCATATATGAGAATAAACTGATTTGGGCTGCATAGACAATTAATCCCAACAGGAGACAAGGGGTGCATCAATAGTCAGGTGCAGGGCCGGCCCGGTGGCGCACTGGAGAGTGTGCCGCTTGGGAGCGCGGCGGCGCTCCCGCCGAGGGTTCGGATCCCATGTGGAGACCGGTTCCCGCTCACTGGCTGAGCGTGGTACGGGCGCAACACCGAGGGTTGCAATCCCGTTGCCGGTCCCCGGTACGGGCATGACACCGAGGGTTGTGATCCCGTTACCGGTCAGTAAAAAAGACAAAAAGGAAAAAAAAAATAGTCAGGTGCAGACTAAAATGTTTTTGTTTCTCCTATCCTAGGTCGGGACTTCTCTCATGATGATACTTTGGATGTTCCAACACAAGTTGAGCTGCTTATCAAACAAGCAACATCCCATGAAAACCTCTGCCAGTGCTACATTGGCTGGTGAGTGGGCATCTCCAAGTAACTTTGTTAAAATAAGCTATTGGGGGCTGACCCCGTGGCTCACTCGGGAGAGTGCGGCGCTGGGAGCACAGGAGCACTCCCGCCGCAGATTCGGAACCTATATAGGAATGGCTGGTGCACTCACTAGCTGAGCACGGTGCGGGTGACACCAAGCCAAGGGTTCCGATCCCCTTACTGGTCACATAAATAAAAAAAATAATAATAATAAATTTTTTAAAAAAATAAGCTATTGGGCTGGTTGGCTCAGTTAATTAGGGCATGGTGCTAATAACACCAAGGTCCAGGGTTCAATCCCTGTATGGCCAGTCTCCATAAATAAGGTAGGTAGACAGACAGACAGATAGATAGATAGCAAGCAATCCCTACCCTATGCCCCAAACATAGGGTAGCAAAAAAAGACTTGGTGGGGTATTCATAAAGGGCAGTTATAGGCTCAAATCTCTTTAAAAGTTTGTAATCACTGTGTGTGCTCATTGTTCTGAAAAGGAGGAAATTGGGAAATATGGATGCATAGCTAGAAGGCAGACATTAAAATTACAGTAAGAGAAATGGTTTAAGAGAATAGGCAAGATTTGTTTGTTTGAGAGGGTTTTTTTTTGGATTTTTGTTGTCAATCCAACTCAGAGATACAGGAAGGGCAAAGGAAAAGAAGCCAGAGCAGTAACAGGAGAAAAAAAGACAAATTTATGATCTGGGAGTCTAACCTCAAGGACCACTTGGGGTGTGCTTTGATTAATTGCCTGAGGCATGCTTGAAAGCAGAAACTTGAGAGGGCAGGGGGTGGGGAAGTGTCCTTGTGGACCTCAGCAGGCATTAGCCCTTGACTGGAGGTGGTGAGTGTGTCCCACACAATTAGTTGTGGGAGATCTCAGGGAATGCCCTGGGGTTGTCAGAGCTTGGTCTTTCCATTGTCAAGTTATCTGTGTAAAGCTTTGAAGAGGCTCAAATTATTAAAATATTCCTTTTCTGTCTGCCTTCTTAGGTGTCCTTTCTGGTAACTGGAGGCCCACATGTGCCCACACCATTTCTTCAGAAGCTTTTGTACTTTGGTACATGCTTCCACTAAACTGAAACCATGGTCAGAAAGTTTGACTTTGTTAAATATTTTGAAATGTAAATGAAAAGAACTACTGTATATTCAAAGTTGGTTTAAATCAACTTTCTAGCTGCTGTTAAAGAGTATATTGTCAGAAACAAAAGGCTTGATTTGGTTCCCAGGACAGTGAAACACAGTAATACCACATAAATCAAGCCATTGATTTTGGGGGAACAGAAGATCCATAATTTTAGAAATACGGGTTTTGACTTCACTCACAAGGGAACTCATCATAAGCCTTTTCTGATAGAAGTCCTTCCTCTCAATGTGAGTGCAGCAAACTCAGCACAGCCAGGAGGCCTCAGGTCAAGGAGAACATGGATTAGGATCCCAGACTGTAAAGAAGTGGAAGAAACAGACTTACTTCGTCCCTTCCACACATCCGGTTACCTCGCTGGTCCATGGACAGCAGCAACAACATTTTCAGAATTGGCCAAAATGGGTGGGATAGGGCTGGCTTCTGCCTGACCCAGCAATGCTGCATCTCACACACTTCAATCCAAGACCTGAACCGCTAGGCGGGGAGTTTATTGAGATCACTGGCGGCCTTTGCTGAGCAAACGCACAGAGGGGATCACAGCACAGTGGGGAGGCCCACACTGGCCTTCCCCAGCACAGTTCCGGGATGTTTTCAGTGAGGTGTGAATACTCTGTGTTCAGAGATGCTGTCATGGAGGTGCTGAACACAGGGAAGGTCTAGTACATGTTGAGAATTATAAGCAAAATAATATTCGACTAAATGCACAAAGTATAAAGTGTAGCCATGTCTAGACACCATGTTGTATCTGAATAATTTTTGTGCCAATAAATGACATCAGAATTTTGAACACATGTATACGAGTGGCTTTTTATTCTTTATTATTAGTTCAAAAAGGAAGAACTTATTCCTTCAACATTTAACTTTTACTTATGAAGCACTTAGTACTAAAGACTACAAAGGACACAGAATGTGACGTAGTCCCTTTCCTTGGGGTGTTCCCAGGCCAGACACAGTGGAGACAGCACACTATACATGTGAGCAGAGAACTCCACCCCAGCCGAGTGGTAAGAAGAGCCATGTGTGAGCCACAGGCAGGAGCACTAATTCCACTGGAATTCCAAGAAAGCCTCATGGAAAGGGTGACATTTAGGATAAGTCTTAAAACAGGAGTGGGAGTTGGTCCGATGAAGCAAGTGGGAACATTCTCAGCAGAAGAAGAAGTGCCAGGCACTGAGGTGTAAAAGCTTGACATCCATAGCAATCCCAAGTATTAACATGAGGCACATGAAACTGCAGGTATTCGACCATTTTTTATATTAAAAAATGGTATTTTCATATTGTTGGAACTCATAGTTCCACATGTCTGTCTCAGTGGTCAGTGGGGAATAAAAGAAGCAACAGGGGCTGGCCAATTAGCTGCTTAGAGCAATGTCAAGGGTTCGGCTCCCTGTACTGGCCAGCCACCAAGAAAAAGAAAAGGAATAACAGGAAAATAATAAGAAAAGTAATAATAGAAACTAAAAGGAAGTTAGAAAGTAGGGTGGAGCCAGACTGGGGCCTGCCCCACCGTCAACAGCAAGGAGTGGTGCTGTGAAGTTTTAGAATCTGAGTCATGTTTTTACGAGACAACTGGTGTCAAACAGATGGAAATAAAATTAGAAGCCGCGAGAACCAGTAAGGAGGCTGTTGTAATAATGGAGAGGAGGGAATATTAAATGGAGCTGGCAAGTACTCTATACAGATTTCCTCTAAAGAGAGCATGCCTAAAGAGAAGTACTTCCAAGAATATTCTTTTTATTTAAGTGAATTTTTTTTCTAAATTCTCTTGGTCCACAGCTACCCACTGAGAAAGATTATCACCATAAAAGCTATTCAAAGAAGGTATATTAGGAGGAGGAAAATTATAAGGCCAGGAACCATACCTTATGTGTCTTTGTATCCCCCCAAACTGCCAGAAGACCTACCCCACAGTTTCTTATGGAACACCATAAGGGTTGGTTGGAGAACTCATCTGTTCAAAACAGAGATGAGGGCTGGCCGGTTAGCTCAGTTAGTGCACAGTGTTATGACACCAGGATCAAGGGTTCAGATCCCCATACTGGCCAGCTGCAAAACAAAACAAAGATGAATTTAAATCTCAGTAGTGATACTAATAAGTTTTAATATAGCAAGAAAGTCTCATACCTATCTTAGATTTTCTGTTTCAGGCCACACTCAGCTCCTGGCTGAGGCTCCCCAAGATGGATACCAAACTCAGGTCTGCCTGCCTTCCCCCAGACAAAAAACAACCCAAAAGTCAAATGTTGGTGAAAATGGAAGTCGGCTTTTATTCAGGAATACCAGTGACCTAAGGAGTGATGGTAAGCTAACCCATCTCTCTGGTAAACTTGAAGGAAAATGGCCAGACTAAAGCCACCTTAAAGTCTCAGGTTTACTGAAGGGTTTTTGAAGAGGGGGATGAGAGAATGGAACATGAGAAAATGAAAAACAGGAGGGAGGGACACATGAGCAGCAAGGGCTTCATGCAAGGTCTCAGGTGCAGTCTTGCCAAGACTCGTCTGGTTTCTAATCCTGTCCTTGTTATCTCGGGGTCCTACTAGAGGATAGTACGTGCTGGTCTGCAGCTCCAGGCTGATTGGAAAACAACTACATTTATGTAAATAATGTCATCTTGCCCCATAACTGAGATTCAAAGTATCAAATAACCTTGGGAAAAGAGGGAACTCAGAGAAATGCATGTCAAGAAAAACACTCTTAGGGCCGAGCCCGTGGCGCACTCGGGAGAGTGCGGCGCTGGGAGCGCAGCGACGCTCCTGCGCGGGTGTTCAGATCCTATATAGGAATGGCCGGTGCGCTCACTGGCTGAGTGCGGTGTGGGCGACACCACACCAAGGGTTGCGATCCCCTTACTGGTCAAGAAAAAGACAAAAAAAAAAAAGAGAGAAATCTTTCGGGCCGGCCCGTGGCTCACTCGGAAGAGTGTGGTGTTGATAACACCAAGGCCCCGGGTTCGGATCCCATATAGGGATGGCTGGTTCGCTCACTGGCTGAGCGTGATGCTGACAGCACCAAGTCAAGGGTTAAGATCCCCTAACTGGTCATCTTTAAAAAAAAAAAAAGAAAGAAAAACACTCTTTAGAATTTGTCTACAGCCCATGCAGTTTTAGGGCCTAACATGGCTTCAGTCCTGCTCACTCCAACATTTCTATAACAGTCCTAAATCATGTATCACCTATTTTGCTCCAGAAAATATGATCACCCTAACTTTCTTGGTCCCAGATGAAATAACTGTCTGAGTACAGTGATGATGCCTTTCATGAAAGATAAAGGGCATGAGAATTAATGGGCTCAGAAAAATGGTGGCCATCAGTGGTGAAGATATATTCCTTAGGACATGAGAGTCTGCATTGAGATCATTGGTGAATCCAATAGGTTTTAAGTTATATATAAGCGAAATCTGCCTCTGTGAAGATGAATTACCAGAGGAAGGGGAGGAGCTTATGGAAGACTTTAAGAAGTCTAACCCATGGCTGGCTGGTTAGCTCAGTTGGTTAGAGCCTGGTGTTATAACACCAAGGTCAAGGGTTCAGATCCCTGTACCAGCCAGCAGCCAAAATATTTAAAAAATAAAAAGATAAAAATCTAACCCATCAATCCCAAATGATTTCGTGTAACCCTGTGTGAAGGAAGGATGTGGCAAAGAATAACTTTCAGGATCCTTGCATTAATGGGGTTCCAGAGCCTGGGCCCTAAAACTCAGAGGCAATATAAAGTATTTTTGAGGAATCATGGCTGTTGTGTCAAATTACTAAATTTCTAACCTCAACTCCACCTCATACTACCTGTATGACTTGAGCCAAGTTACTTAATTTCTCTGAGCTCGTTTTCTAATCTGAAAGTGTACGAGTGTACCTTGTGAGGCTATTTGAAGGATGAGATCTTCCATGTGAATCACTTAGCACAGTCTGACACATGGTATTAGGCTGAACCATATGAAATAAGTGTTCAAAAATACTAGCTGTTAAAGTGAAGTAGGACTTTGTTCTTCCAGGGTACCTGTGCACCTGAAGTACATACATGCGAAAGAAAAGGAGAAAAAGCAAGTGTCCTGTTAATAGCATTTTCTGAATAACGATAACAGCTAACACTTATTGAACACTTAAGCCAAATGAATTATATTAAGGCTATGCCACCCTTGATCTTAGGGGAGAGGATATATCCCCTGAGCTGACTGCTAATACAGTGTCTCCTTCATAAAAAGATCTCCTGCAAGCATTCAATTAACATATATGTTTATTGAGCTACCACTGGGTGCCTTAACAATGCAGGTTCCAGTGGTGTCGATGGGGAAGAAGGTCTGACTGGAGGCATGCAGAGAGCCTTGGAGGTGAGCAAGTGCGGTGGGAGGTATAGACCCTTTTCCCAGGAGTTTATAAAGACCAAGATCAATGTGATGGTGGCTAGGAGATGTGGGTTCGAGCGGTTTGTTTTGCTTTTTTCTTTTTAGCTGGGAGAGATGTCAGTGTATGTGTAGGCTGTCGGGAATGAACCAATGGAGAGGGTAAAGATAGATGGGGGGCGGGAGCGGACACGGCTAATTGCAGGAGTCAAGATCAAGTGGGTGAAGGGGGCACGGAACCAGAGCTTGGAGGCGCTGGCTTTAAATAGGAGGATAACTGGGTCCTCCGGGTCCCACCCTGGATCACAGGGCCGCTGAGATGATACAACATGAGGTTAAAGAAAAACGTAAGGTTTACTACTGGGGCGACCAGCGCTAACACCCAAACCTAACCCTTCACCTCGTCCCGCAGTGGAAGGCGGCCTTTGCACATGCGTGGTGCGCACACGCCGCTTCCGGCGTGAACTCTCGCGAGAGGAACGGTGCGGGCCGGAAAGATGGCGCCTCCCAGCCCCCGAGAGCCCAAGGCCCACACGGCGAGCAGCGCAACCAGGTCCGACGGGGAGATGGTGCTGCCGGGCTTCCCGGACGCAGACAGTTTCGTGAAGGTAAGTTCGCGTGCGTCCGGGGCCGGGCAGGAGCTGAAGGGCCGCTGCACAGCCTGTCACCGCAGCCTGCCGGGATGTGGCCTCCGACGCAGACAGTGAGTGACGACCCGCTTCCCGCTTGAAGCCCACGCAGCCCCGAGTGTGGAGTGTCGTTTCCGCGTCCTGGGAAGGGCTTCCTTGTCACCCAGACGTCCGCAGCCCTCGCGACGTCGCCCCCGCCTGAACCACCCGGACAAGTCCCCGGAGGGGCTCGGCTGCTTGGC